GATGATGTTCGATCATCTCCAAGGTTTCCTATCCCCAGCTGAAATTGAAAGAAGACAGTTTCCCAGCCATCTCATCGTGTTTTTCCTGCATTTTGCTAGAAAAGAGAGGGCATCAGCAAGCTTCATCATCCATGATGAACAAGAAGTCAATTCCCCCAAGTGACTCTTCTCGATCCGGCCATTGGGTAGGTGTTCGCCGTACGGCCCCTCGGGCGCCAAAGCGGCGGAGAATTCGGCGAGTTTGAATAGCCTCCCTACCTTGGATCAGTATCCCCTAACCCCTGGACATTCCCTGTAGAAATTGATACCATGGAGGGACATTCCCTGTGCATGGATACCACTAACCTCCAAAAGGAGCTGACGAAGGTGGGCGACGTTCGCACTGTACGTTCCACGAGGCATCATTTGGTGGCGGCATTCGCCTTTGGCTGCGCCTTACGAATGAAGGTATCTTGGCCGCTAAACCCGTGTGGCACAACGGCTTAATTGATTTGTGTTGCGCCATAAATCAGGATGATCATGGGCCAGTTGTTGGTGCCTATGGTGGTAGAGGGTACCCTGAATGCGAGACCTCCACCAACACTTAGCCGCTTCAAGCTGCACAAGGGTTGCTTAGAGGATTCGTCACTTGGGGCCGAAAAAGAGGTAAGAGGCCATTTGAGAGAGTCAAGCAACTCCAAGTCCAGGAAGGAGGTCACCAGCTCCATTCACAGCTGTCCTTCTTCTCGTTTTTTCCATGCCAAAAGATCCACGTGTGGATTTTGTTGAAGAAAGCAGAGCTATCAGCTCTACAAGTGGTGCTTTCTTGGCTTTCTTCTGTCCTTTCAATCCATGGAAGATGGCCCATCCACCAAGCAGCTACCCTCTCGGTCCATCCACCAACTCAGAAACCAATCCAGCCGGTCCACGGGGGTCTACGCTGGGGAGGCTTTGGGGGGCCAAGACTGCAAGAAGTGGGGGGCCAAGCTGACAAATCCCAAGAATGCAGGACGCAAGAAGTGGGTTTGGAAGTCAGGTTCGAGGTCAGATGTTCGGAAGTGGATGAAGCAGCAGTCAGACTTGTTGCCCATGGGAAGCAGGTAGCCTGCAAACTAAGCAGCTGATACAGGCATGTGTCCTTTTGAGTGCAGTTCTACCCTACATATTACCTGTACATGTGGTGCCTGCTTGGTTGCGGGTTTCCTAGTTGGAAAGTAGGTCCCAACCATGCTTACCCCGAGCATTGAATGTTTCATCAGAGCGACTTCGCCATGGAGTTGCTCGTATCTTTGGATGCTTGTTGAGGGGTTGATACAAAGGCAAACTGCATCAACTGACACTCCTTGAGCCGTCATAGTCCATGTGTGATGTCTATGTCAATGTCGCGCCTGACTTCGAGTTTTTGATAGTTTTTGTCTCCCAGCTCAGTTTTGTGTTTTTGTTTAGATGCCTGGATGTCTCTTCGTCTTGTTCTGGACCTTTGGATCTTGGACATTTGGATTTCTGATCTCGGCAGGGCGCTGACCTTCCTCGGTCGGCGGCCTGGCCTCGGCGTCGGCAGGTCTGTACTGGGCTGGCAGCCTTCGGCCTGGCACGGCTGCCCGGTGGGCCGAAGGAGAATCAGATGCCATGGGGTTCCTGTCGTGTTTGAGCAGAGAAAGGCTAGCTTGAAGGCGATGCACCTGGCCGCCCTGTGGGTTTTCTTATGGCGCCAGAGATGAAGGAAAGTCACCAAACTGCACGTATGGTTTGAGGGGGCGTGAGCTTGCTTGCTCAAAATCACATTGTTCCGAGCACTAGTCACCCCGAGGGTGCATGACTACCACAGTCATGAGACGACATCAACGGGGGCTCCAAACCCTGGTAGTTGACCTCATTAGTAGCAGACTAGTCTATTTGGTCCATTCACATCTAGTAGTAGTTGACCTATTTGGTTTATTTTCGCTGGTCAACCGAGGTCCCCCGCCCATTCGTATAGTTCTGTGTACCGAGGCATCCGGCCTGAAGGAATCACAGGTCGAGGAATTCTGGGCACGTGTAGGGCGCAAGAACCTCAAGCCTCCTATTTGCAGCTTAAGGATGGTTAAGGTATATATGTCATCCCCTTGAAAACAATTGACCGTGCATCAGGATGCATGAACACCCACCTACTTCCAGGATTTGAGGCCCTTTCTTTCCCTCTCGCGACGACCTTCACACACCGAATCTGCCGAATCCACGCGGGAGATCTCTACCAAACCGGTGGTGTAGATCTCCAGTGTTGTCCGCGGCTCGGCCGAGATCTTTGAGCTTCCAGTGCTCTACATGAACCACCGAGAGTTCATCGCGCCTGGACCGAACGAAGCCGTTTTTCGGGTCGAAGGTGTTTTTGACTCAGTTTTGGGTCGATGTTGGGAATGAGGACGAGGGTTCCTATCCAGGAGTTCAGTGGATAAGCTGCAAAGCTAATTTTATTTGGGGGCATTGGTGTCTCCACTCAACGGGAAGAGGTGGAAAAAAGGCTCACCACTTTCATGTTGCAGGAAAACGGCTGAAGGGGTGAGTGTTGAAGAGTCCAAATGAAGCCAGAAAACAGCGGAGTTGGTATGTTTTGGTCACCCTGGTGATTAACCAGCACAGCAACAGGTGGTGGTTTGAGATGTGTTGATGTTCAACATTTACTTGGGATGATTGAATCCACTTTTTTAGAGTGTGTTCAAATTACAAACCAGTATGGCCCGCCCAGTTTCCCTCTTATGGTCACTGATGAAAAAGAGGCTCCACATTAAGAGCATCGCAGGTACTGCTAGGACAGCTTTTTGATGGTGTGGAGAAACCAATAGCAAAGCTGATTCAGGTGATTATCATAGCATATTGTATGAACAACGTTTGTGCGATTTCACATCTGCCCTGATTGTATAAAATTGCGTTTGATAAGGAGAAGGAGAATCGACTTTAGAACCTTTGGGATGTGGATAGGTTACCCAGCCATCAAATACACCCGATCCACGTTTTTCATTCCTTCTTCGCGCGCACTCTGTGCCACATGTCTCGCGCTGTGTGCTGGTGAGGTTTATGCTGAGAACCCTGTGGAGTGGTTCCAAGACATCAGGCATGGGTGGTCGCTTGCGTTTGATGAGTGACCAGGCCATGGTTGCGTTGTTCACATGTTTGCACGTCCATGTTCTGCGCTTGTTACGTCATGGTCAACGGTGATGATTCTACGTTCCAGTCTGTTCCAGGCAACCGGTGATGATACGGATGTTCATTAAAACAGGCAGACCTCCGGAAACAGACCAACACCCATCGATGCCCTGCTTTGGACATCGAAAGAGCTGATCCTTCAGATCCAGCGAAGATTCCAACTCTAAAGAGTGAGAACTCGGGGTCACAGGAAACCCCTACGTTCGGCACCAACTGCCAGAATGCGCGTTGGAAGTCCGCGTTTCAACGCATACGATCACTCCTACCTTCCTCGCTCGGTATGAAGATTCCTTGCTGACTCCAAAGTTTGAGTTGGCGCCAGAAGTCTCCTTCGCAGGTGTGAAGTGCAGACTTGTGTTGATCCGGCTTACTTCTCTCTTGCAAGCAGCACGAAGTATTGGTTTGGCTTTAGTCTTTGCTGCATGTAGGTTACAAGCTGGATGTCCTGGATGATGTTCGGGCAGCTCACTGCCTCTACACAGACCTGGATAGAGTACTAGCAAAGGCTCTGGTCATCTCCAATCGCTGCGGCCAGGCTTCGCCTGACAACTTTATCGCTGCTGCCTACGATGCAACATGTGGCCTTGAAAAGCCATATGCTGAAAACTCGACAGCAGTTCAGTTCATTGGACCTCGTGAAGGCAGTTGGCTGAGGCAGACTGAGCTGAAGTTCGGATTTGCAGACAAAGTTGCTGTTGATTCTGAACTTGCCATCCTCAGAGCCAACTTCAGGCAATGAGCCCAGAGGAACTTGCAGCAATTTTTCTGGCGAAGAATGTCCCTGGAAGGAGGTACAGGCCAATCAGTGAGAATGCAGAACAATGTGACGCGCTTTGGTTCTCCTCTCTGTCGCACAATTGGCCGACCAAGAAGGAAAGCCCTGAGCTTCCACCGAATAACCAATTCATGGGTTACACGAAAGGGGCGGGCGGGGCCTGTCCTACTTGGAAACTCATTGGCCCGTGTGGCTTCGCACAGTTTGGCTTGCAAACTCATTAGCCTTTTTGGCTTGCAAACTCATTAGCC